TCTCAATTTGATTTATATATAAAGTTAAAATAAAACCAATATCAAATCTTTTCTTTTCCTTAGCTTCTTTCTTTTATTCTCCTTTTCTTTCTTTTTTTCTTTACTATTTTTCATCTAAAAAAATATTTAAGCTCTGTACCACTAAAAAAAAACTTCTACCGCAATTTTAAAAGCACATTGAAATTTTTTGAAAGATGTAAATTATTCTTTATTATTAATTGTTCAATACATGGAACCTTACACCTTTATTCACTTGATTTTACCTTCTTTTTTTTTATGTAGATATTGTCGTTGCCGTAAATCCATAGCCAGTTGAGACTTATTTGTTAGCAAGGTTTCATTGGTGTTAAAAAAATAATAATAAAACTTGTTCGACTTAATTTACATATTATTAGAACGATATGGTCATTAAAATATCAAAAATAATTATAAATTTTTTTTTTACTTTTTTTTTTTAAATCTCGAGTATTATATAGAAATAAAAATTGAAGTACATACCATAAAAAAAACGGAGTAAACGTGAAGAGATCTCAACCGTTAAACTGAAACGCAATAGCCATCAGATTTAGGGCGTCGTGGTCTTCCTAGGGCTTTAATTCGTTATCTTCGGCGCCGACGGGAACCCTCCTTTGGTTTAGGACTTCAGCGACAGGGAGAAGGACAAGAGAGAATCGGAAAAATGGTTCAACGTCTCACTTACCGGACGCGACACAGCTACGCCACCAAGTCCAACCAGCACCGTGTCGTCAAAACCCCAGGTACTTACTTGGATTCGCCCATCTTGAATTCAATTGAATCTTTTTCCTTTTCTTTATGAAATGATTCTGCTTTTTTCGCTGCTATTTCCGGTTTCTGATTCAATATGTGACTCCGCAATGTTAGTGTAAACTGGAAATACTTAAACTTAATAGGAAAAGCTCTGCTTCTAAGGTTTTGGAGATTGTTTTGGTGTAGACTATGCATGAATGTTGAAATTTGATGCCTGATTTCCTGGTATGGTATATTTTTGGGGCATATTTAGCTTTGAAATTATACTGCATTGACTTATTTTTGAATTGTATAAAGTCAATAATTTTGATATTGTTTGTACATTTCAGTTTAAAGTATAATTAAATGAAAATTTTGTTTTAATTTGGGTGTTAGGAGAGGAGGCGGCATGGAATGTACCTTCTTATTTCATAGTTATGGGATTATTATAAGTTAAGTTTCAATTGGTAAGTTTACTAATTGCTTATATCATCTGAAATTTCAGGTGGTAGGCTTGTTTACCAGAGCACAAAGAAGAGAGCTAGTGGTCCTAAGTGTCCTGTTACTGGGAAAAGAATTCAAGGGGTACTTTCAAAAACTCAATTTTACCTCACTCTCTAATCAAGTCGATTATTGTTTATGTTTGATCTTTGGTAATAGTATTCATCTTCATTATGACTATAAAAAATGGCTTTCTGGTAATTTATGCTGATTCTTTTATCTTGGACTATATTATTGATGTAGTGGTGTTTTGAATTTCACAAATTTCCCAAGTTCTAGAAGGGCCTCCATAAATAAAAATTTACTTGTCTTGGTTCTGGTTGACATATAGGGGGTAGAATTGTCAAACTATGGTCTATTTTCTAATTAAGTTGGATGTGGTAGTTCTTAATAGAATAAATTTTTAAATGCATTTCCAAGATGATTTGAATGGACCGCCTTGTTGTTTTCTCCAGGGATACTTATCAGCACACTGTCTCCAAAATTACTCTTCTTTTTATTTCTTTCTACATGTGGAATGAATTGAAGTTGGAGTGGAGAACTATCTGTGTCTCTTGTTCAAAGCTGGATTCGAATGTTCACCTTAACATGCTTGCTTTATGGATTGAAATTGTTTTTGACTCTGAATTCTCTTGGTTTATTGTTCTTAATTTGTAGAATGCAAGGATCATTATGTTTTTATCAAATTCACTATATGTATTGAGCTTTGTAGATTAGAGCTTGCTTCTGGTGATAATCCTATTGACTGAATTGTGATCGATGTACAGATCCCTCACTTGAGACCTGCTGAATATAAGAGGTCCAGACTATCTCGGAACAGGAGGACTGTGAACCGTGCATATGGTGGTGTATTATCTGGAAGCGCTGTTAGAGAAAGGTGTGTCTCAATCTATTTTTCCTTTCTATGTTTTCAAAGTCCAAATTTTTTTCAATTGGTGTGCAAAATACATGAAATGTGATTTTCTTGATGAAGCTTATCACTCCTTGGTGATGCCTACTTTTAAAATAATGTAATCATTCTGCAGGATCATCCGTGCATTTTTGGTAGAAGAGCAGAAGATAGTGAAGAAGGTTTTGAAGATTCAGAGGGCTAAAGAAAAGCAATCTTCAAAGAGTTAAAAAAGATATGATGGATAATCTTTGCATTTTACTTTCACTTTGCTTGAATCGTATATTTTTTCTTTTAAGAAATCAGTGTTTGTCATGCACGATATTAACCTGAGGTCTGTTTAAACATAAATTAGTATTTTATTTTTCGGTGGATCTATTCCCTACATATTACTTAATGATTGTTCATTTTTTTATGTCAAAATTACTGCTCCATTTTATACAAAGGAAGAAGTGATTTCTGGTCTGGACTGAAAAAAAAAAACACAGAATGACCAACCACAACCTCTGGATCTGACATGTTTTTACCACTATCCCTTGTGCAAATTTTAACCTGTGTTACCCTGAGTCATACTTTAGTGAAGATTCAACCTGTATTAGCCTGATTTATGCTTTACTGAAGATTTTGAAGACCAAGATTTCTACTTTGGAGACAATTCTTAATACAGGCAAAATCAAGTGCTCAATGAAGAAATTGCTTCAACTGAGATTGACATTGTGTTTGTACTTAGTAATTCAATGTTACAGGCTGGCGCTTGTTATTTGTCTGTGTATTGAATAAAATTCCTTGATGGGCAAGTTGCTTGTCTTTGGTCTTATCCATAACATAGATAAAGGATCTACAAATTTTATTGTATACATATTTCTATCATTTTCATCCTCTAAGTCTATCCTACATTTTACGTTTTTTATTCATTTTTATTTGTTTTATGAATATCAAATTCAACATCTTGGTACCCATAGTGGCCATGGTCAACGCACCCAGCAAGAGATGCCCTGTTTTTTATTACAGACAAGATAAACAAGATGATGATTTTGGAGGTTTGCTTGGAAGCACTTAAGCAAGTAACAAAAAGGAATCAAACACCAAATCGAGTTAAGCGGAAGAAGCCTTAAGTGCATTCTCTCTGACAAACTTGATGAGTGCCACTGACTTTTCATGTGGAGGCGTCAGCTCTTTCACCAGAGGCAGCTGGCTAAGGGCTTCCACCCTCGAGAATATAACTGGAGTCTTCACCGGATCGATAACCTTTATGCCAAGAGCTTCCTCCTGAGCTTTGTGAGGACCAAACAGAGGCAAAAACACAATATCAAGTAATCCCACATTGGTGGTGTCAGTGGCAGCACTTTCATCTGGAAAGAATTCCTTCATCCCCTCTTCAAGCAGTTGCAGTTTCTCCGACAGTTCCTTGATGGCTTTCTCTTGCTTTTCTCCTTCAGTTTTGGCCACTGTGAACAAAGCTTGGTACATCTGTATTTAAAGGATTAAGAACATAAGAACTCATATTGGAAAAAACTGAGCATGCTCTGTTTCCAATTTTTCCAATATCCCTTGTTTGGTTTAGCTATTAAGAATGGTTGATGGTTGTTTTCAGTTTTTGAATTAGAGATAATAACAACCATCAACCATTGAATATGGAATACCAGCTATCAGTTGTTCCTTAACAGCTAAAGTAAAAAATGCTAATCTAGGAGAAGAATTTCCACTAACCTGTTGGTCAACAAAGCTGGACCAGAACCGAACTCTGGCTCCTTCGTATGGAGTTTGAGGAAGCAGATGGGGGCTGCTATTCTTCCATGTCTCCTCGATGTATTCCACAATAACAAGGGATTCAGAAATTGGGTTTCCATTGTGAACAAGAACAGGGACCTTCTTGTAAACCGGGTTGTACTTGAGAAGCTGTGGGCTTTTGTTCTTCAAATCTTCTTCAACGTAGTCAAAGGGTATGCCTTTGAGCTTTAGGGCAAGTTCCACCCTCTTTACATAGGGACTAGCCCACAACCCATACAGTGTCACTCTGTCTTCTTCCGCCATCTCTCTGTTTCTCTTAATAATTTTGCTATGTCTCTGTTTCTCTTAATAATTTTGCTATGTCTCTGTTTCCTGTTTGTGGAAGCTTTATATAGAGTTTAGAAGTGTTGCTAAACTTCTTTGACAAGGCTGTTTTCTTGCCCAACAGCCAAAGTTAATTTCATAAAAAAAAAAATAAATAAAAAAAAAGGTTCGAAGATTTATTAGCAAATCCTTTGCCAAGCCTTAATAAAACAACACTATACCCACAATATCTTTAAATGCAATGATTTTGTACAGTTAATGGCAATGCTATACTTAAAAATATTATACATGAAAAATTTGAGGAAAAAGAAATGTTTAAGATTAAATAACATAATTTTGGTCAAAATAATTTTATATATGTTTTTTTTAATAAAAAAACATTAATTAGGTATTAGTATCTGTTTATAAGTCAACATTAGAGTCGAAATTGGATGAACTACACTTGCTATTCTTTGGAGTAGCGTGGCCCATTAGAGTAGCGTGATCCATCCATTGAGTCACATGGAGAGTTTAATTTTATATATGTTATTAATTGCTAGATGTTTTGAACATAAATGAAAAAAAAAAAGAAAAAAAAAAGACCTTTCCCTTTCTGCTTAAATTAGTGCTTAGGTTATCACATAAGTCAATTCCTTTTTTCTCAGGGAAATTATGGGCGGCTGTGTTATTTTATTATAAAGTAATTCCATATCTTGTGAGAATACAACGCACAGAGATTTGTTTTAGGATCACTGAAAAATTTAGAAATCTACAAGAAATATTTTATTGCATGAAAATTATAGTATTATCACACCAACTGCTAGATGCGCTTGCATTTTGTGCTGCAAGGGCACCACTTTTCAGTCCATAGGACGATGTACAATTCACATCTCTTCCTCTCTAATTGCCATGAATTTAAAAAAAAATGAGGACTGGGTGACTGATTTTGTAACGGTTTTTGTTTTTGGTTTACAATTTGGTGAAAGTTAAATCTACAACACCAAGTTAGAGTTCGCACAACACAAACAAGTATCCATTACCTATTTAAAAAAAAAAAAAAACAAACAAACAAACACAAACAAGTAGACAAACTGACAATCGTTGCGTGGTGCAGGTGGTTCTAGCGTACACCCTCTCACACTCGGACGACAATGGAGGAAAAAGAAAAGAGTTTTGAAGTAGAAGAGAGAGTTTTGAAGTCCAC